CTATAGCGTTCTTCCTTGTTTCCCTTTGTCCTTTTAGCTGAGTAACGGGTATCTGATAGTCGAGGTACTCGACAATAGCGTTCTTCCTTGTTTTTTTCTTTACAACTTTAAAGTCGTGCTCTTCCTGTCACAGTCTTAAATACTACATTTGTTAATTATTGCCTGCTAGTTTTAATCCCCATAATTTACACTCTGATTTGTTGTCGATCTTTTAAATTAATAAAATTGATGCAGTTTTTATTGAATTCACGTCCCATGTGTTTGGTAAAAGGGTCACCACGAACACACATACATGCGCAAAAGACTATTTAAATGAGGCGACCAAAAGAGAACGGAAACAACTACTCATCGCCTGAGCGCGAGCAAAATTTTTAAATGAACAATTCAATCGGTTGCCCTTGGATTCTTTGCTCAATGTCAGAAAAAAGCACTTATTTTGAAACCGCTCAAATAGGTCAGCATTTAATTGCGAGATCTGATGACTGGCATCACTTTCCATTGGGATAATCGGGGTCCTGACGGTAAAGGCCGTATACTGCTTGCTGTGTTCGGCCATTGGGATTTGTCAGTGCCCGCTTTTGAGATCTAGTGTACTGATGTATTTGGCTTGCTGAAGCTGGTTGAGGATGTGTTCCATCGGGGGGACTGGGTATGCATCTCTTTTTTACTGAGCATTGAGTGGCCGGTACACAGTCTACACTGGTTGTTTTTCTCCCTCACCAGGACTACTGGTATGCAGAGTGGGATGGCTCTATAAGGTCTTGCTGTTTTTTGTTTGCGTTGGCCTGTTTTTGGCCTTTCCTATTGTATGTGCGAGGGCAGTCCGATAAGTACTTAGCCTCACCGCCCGATGGCGTCACTATCGCAAGAGAAATTTACTATCGTGTAGTACATTCTCGTAGACGGCTACTGTCGAAATTTCAGTCGAATCGGACTCGTAGTTTTGTTTTGACTGCGTGTGGAATCGGATTTTAGAAAAATTGAAAAAGAGCAATATCGGTCTGTGATTCAATTCTTGTTTTTGGAAAGGAAATCAAAGAGCGCTTGGATGCTGTGTACGGTGACTCTTCTCCATCGATGGCGACCGTCAAAAATTGGTTTAACGAGTTTCAACGTGGTCGCACGTCGGTTTTTGATGAGCGACACCCAGGTGCCCCAAAAACGGCTACCACGGAGGATAACGTGACAAAAATCCATGATCTCGTATTGGCAGACAGTCGATTGAAGATACGCGAGATAGCTGAAACAGTAGGCATGTCAAAAGACCGCGTGAGTCATATCCTGCTTGAAATTTTGGGCATGAGAAAGCTGTCGGCCCGATGGGTGCCGCATTTGCTCACTCCGGACAACAAACGCAACCGTGAGACCACTTCAGAGCAGTGTTTGACGCTGTTTAAGCGCAGTCCGAAGGAGTTTCAGCGTCGTGTCGTGACCGTCGACGAAACGTGGATCCACTGGTACACACCAGAGACCAATGAACGAAGAAGACGAAGACTGTCCCATCGGCCGGAAAGGTGATGGCCATGGACTCACAAGGTGTGATCTACATCGACTACCTGGAGAAACGGGTAAAACGGTCACAGGGCTGTACTATGCCGAATTGTTGCGCCGCCGAAATGCAGAAAATACGGCCCCATTTGGCGAAGAAAAAAGTGCTTCTCCAACATGACAACGCACCGGCTTACACTTCCGCCCTCGCCAAGGCCAAATTGGTCGAATTGGGCTACGAACTGCTACTCCATCCACCATATTCTCCAGATTTGGCCCCATGTGACTTCTTTTTGATTCCAAACTTGAAAAAGTCACTCGCTGGACAGAAATTTGTATCGAATGAGGAGGTCGTCGCCGCCACAGAGGCCTATTTTGCAGACCTCGAGGAAACGTATTTTTCAGACGGGTTAAAGAAGTTTGAGCATCGCTGGGTCAAGTATATGGAGCTAAAATGAGATTATGTTGAGAAATAAATCGCCACTTTTCCAAAATTTTCGTTTTTCTTTTGGAGGCTAAGTACATATCGGACCACCCTCGTAACTGACGATCTCTCGTGAATATCGGGGATGTTAGCTATCTTTACTGAAATTTCGTGTTGTACTGATAGAAAAAGCGGGTTTCCTTTAAAACTGACGTGGGCGACAATCTGTCTACCGTCGAAATATAGGCTGGTTGGGAGGGGCTAATGTTTAATTGTGTCCCTGGAGGTCCCACTTTCTACCCAGAGCTTTTTTTGTTTCCGTCTCTTTTTCGACAACAGTATCTTGTCTTGCCTGCAGGCCCAGTAAATTAGATTTTTTGTGGTCTTTTAGATGTTTGGCCTCGAACTTCTCTGAGAGTCGTATGTTACTCGTTACTCGTAGAGTAAAAGGGTATACTAGATTCGTCGGAAAGTATGTAACAGGCGGAAGGAAGCGTTTCCGACCCCATAATATATTATATATATATATATTCTTGATCAGGATCACTAGCCGAGTCGATCTAGCCATGTCCGTCTGTCCGTATGAACGCTGATATCTCGGAAACTGTACAAGCAACAATACTGGGATTGGGCATGCAAATTCCTGAGATTCCTGCGCAGCGCAAGCTTGTTTCAGCAGAGTGCCACGCCCACTCTAAAGCCCACATCTATCGATTGACCTAAAAACAAGTTTGCCACGCCCAAAAACCGCCCAAAATCTTCAAAAATTCGTAATTATGAACGCTGATACCTCGGAAACTATCAAAGATAGAGAATTGGGATTTCAGATTTAGATTCCGTAGCCTTGCACGCAGCGCAAGTTTGTAACGCGAATATGTCACGCCCACAATCCGCCCAAAACTGTGGAGCCCACAGTTTGCCATGCCCACTTTAACGCTCATAACGCTTAATGTGTAATCTGGACGCAGATGTGTAGGCAAAGCCAATTTTTGTTGATCGTGAGGGCAAACTTTCGATTTTAGTATGGTAAAATAGCTTTCTCCTTTAGTAACCTACCGTAAGACATGTTTGTAAAGTTTATCCTTATCGATGTGGTTGCGAAGAATCTCGAATTGATGGTGACAGTTTCAAAACGGCGTGACAAGCTTTTTTTCTCTGTCCCTGCCCACAGAAAGACGCGATAGAGCATCTGCGTTGCCATGGGCAGATGTGGATCGATATTGGATATCAAGTTATGTCCGTCTGTTTCTACGCAAACTTGTCTCTCAGTTATAAAGCTATCGGGCTGAAACTTTCCCAAAAGTCTTCTTTCTTTTGCAGGTAGTATATAAGTCGGAAACAGTTGGATCGGACAACAGTATCTTATAGCTCCCATAGGAATAATCGGAACAAAAATTTTTTTTATGTTATCTTTGGTGTTTTTTAAAATATAACCTCCTACGCTTGGAAACAACAGTTGGTAATAAGTTATGAATTTCGAATTTAATTTTGTCAAAATCGGACGACTATATCATATAGCTGCCATAGGAACGATCGGAAAATTGTTGGGAAAATAATTTGAAACAAGTTATTGCTTCCTGGAAATATCATTCTTTTAATATTTCAGCATTTTGAATACAATTTAAATACAATAGTTGTCATAGAAACGATCGGATAATTAATGCCAAAATAATACATAGACCATTCCGTTTTCGGTAAGCATGGACGGTAGTAAACTTAAATGGAACAATATCTTACAATTTTTATATTTAGTTTTTAGTTTTCTAAAAATCGAAAGGCTCTGTACATACAATGCTCCCACGGGAACGACCTGCAAGGATATAAAAACTTCGGCGTGCCGAAGTTAACTTCTGTTCTTGTTCTAGTTGTATTATACTCAAAGCTTGAGTCCTAACGACCTAAAGACTTTAAAATTAATTTAAAAAAAATGATCTTTTTATTGTTGACCCTCTTCCTATTGCATTTTAATTAAAAATACTTGGCTGAGGGCTTAAGCCATGTCTTTTATCATAAATAATTATTCTATCCATGGCAAGTGCATGCGAATCAAAAACCTCCGGTTTGATCAAAGATAGTATGCTTATTTCGTCACAGTTGATTGGTCGTTTTTCAACCTATTAGAAGAATTTAATTAAGCCAGAAATCGAAAATGAGTAGCACGGAACATCTCGAAAAAACTTTTTACGAACACAAGTGAAAAAGGGTATAATTTTGGGCCGTAAATAATGGTTATAGGAAACAAAAAAATTACAGTAAAACTTTTAACCCACTGCCACGATATATATACCCTAAATGTTGTTTTCTTTCACTTTTTAAAAAGCAAACAAAACAAAAAAAATATTAATATTCATTAAAATTACGTTAAAGAATAATGATTGTTTATTATTTCAAAGGTTCTTTGATTTGTGCATTATATTCAAAATCTTTTCGCTGTTTGCGCCTCCAGTTATTTAGATGTATAATATTGTCCTGAAATTTTTTGTTCACCTTCGCTATTGGGTTATCCACCAAATGTTCAAAATTGTATGTGCAAGGCTACGGAATTTAAATCTTAAATTCCAATTCTCTATAGTTTCCGAGATATCGGCGTTCATATTAACGATTTTTTTAAGTTTGTGGACGGCTTGTGAGCGTTAAAGTGGGCGTGGAAAAATTTTGGGTCAATCGATAGGTATTGAAGAACAATACATTTCAGTTCAATTTTTTTATTTTAGCATTAAAACTGTAGGAGCCACAGTTTTGGGGTGGTTGTGGGCGTTAGAGTGGGCGTGACACCCTGCTGAAACAAACTTGCGCTGCGAAGGAATCTCTAGAGTCTTCATGGCTAATCCCAGTTTTGCCGCTTTTATAGTTTCCGAGGTCTTAGCGTTCATATGGACAGACGGACTGACGGATCAAGAATATATATACTCTATGGGGTCGGAAACGCTTTGTTCTACTATACCCTTTACTCTACGAGTGACGTGATATGCACATGCTAAATTTGTGTTTTTCATACCAATCATACAAAAATAATGTATAACTAATACTTAAAAAAATATGAATTTTTCGATTTTTTGTTTTTTGGAAATACTTTGACATCGAAAAAGAGAGGACACAGCATTATGGCGACGTAAATCATGTAAGTGCAATCAAAAAAGACATATTCAAAACTCGAATTGGCCTACTTCGAACATGTTGTCTCGCTTGCACTAGAATAAGATAAATACGATTTGTTGCCTCTTGATTTTTAGCGTGAAGCTGGTCGGACGTTCTGCGTGTGTTTCACAAGTGCGTAAAACAAAGAAAAGGTGAGTGAAGTTCATATATAATGTGTATATACACATACGTGCGTACAAAACGAAATTCGTGTGCTGTTTTCTGTGTAACGTTTTTAAGCTGTATGGCAACCCTGCCGTTAGTTCGGGAACGCATTCAAAAAAGAAATAGTTTTGGGTCGCTTTTTTTTTACACAAGACGGCACGCATGCAAATTTTCGATTGCAGGTGCAGTACATTCCGGGGCGGCCTGGATGTTTTTTAATATACTGCATCCCGATTGATGCTCAAACGGAAATTCGGGAACGCATTCCGAAAAAATAGTTCTAGAACGCATTTTGTTTATACGTAAAGCGAAACGAATGATCATTTTCCAAGACAATTGTGCGTGCTATGTGCATTGCACTAAGATGCTTTCCAGAAGTGTTTAAATATTGTGCATCATGGGTCATTTTGCTGAGAATGTAAATAATAAAAATGAAACCCGAACGTTGCCAATGGTCGTTTTTTCCGATTGTTTTTTCGGTACAGTTCTCTTGACAAACAAATAATAAATACAAAAGGAAAAATGCAAGGAAGCGCGCGGTTTTTATTGTCTCTTGCATTTCTCGTCAGTTGCATTTCCAATTCTGAAAAGTGAAGTTCGTGCCACGTGTTTTGAAAAATTGCATAAATATTTTACATAAATATTTTTACAAGTTAAGTGTAGATAATGTAGTTCAATATTAACACAATAGAGTAAAAACAAAAAAAAACTGCAAAGGCATATGTATATAAGTGCGAATTACAAATAACATAACACATATGTACAAATTAATTAATTAAAATAATAACTATTTGTATGTAAATTGTACATATATACAGTGTAATTGTGTTAAAATGAATAAATTGTATATTTGTAATATAAATGTATACACATGTATATTAATATGAAATATTCAATTTGCTTTTTATCTTTCAGAATCGCAATAAAGGAATAAAGAAAGGAAAAAATAAGAAGGAAGCAGCAAAGCCCCATACTGAAGGGGAACGATTTCGATCAACATTTAGATTTCATTGAATTGATTTTAGATTAAAATAAAAAAAATATAAGGCTAAAAACCTGTTTTATGTATTCCCAGAAATAGCTTACAAGGAATTCTTTTTTGAAAGCGTATATGCGCATTCCTAGGTACCATGTCCCTCTGTCTATCTGTCTGTCCATCCATATTTACGCTTAGGTCTCGGAAACAATAAAAGCAAGAAAGTTGGGATTTGTCATGTAGATTTATTTCAGCAGGGTGCCACGTCCACTTTTACGCCCAAAAGCGCCCATAACGCTAAAACTGGCTTAGCTCCTACATTTTTTAAGTTCTTGAACAAAAATAAATGGGATGATGTTTTGATTATTAATATCTATGTACATGGCAAAAATTTGTCATTTATAAGCTAAAAGCAAATAAAGTGTGCAACCTTGGGAACAATCGCTTGGGAACAATCTCGGGCTGTGGAAAACAAATAAACATGCAAACTAATTGTTCGTACCCAAGGGTGCTCAACAACACGACCAACAAATCAAGCAGTAGCCATGTTGGGAAAGGCGCTCTGTGGCACCCACTGCAGATGAGAATTGCTAATCAGCATATTATATGTCTCACTAACTTACCGTCTCACCGGCCAATGCAGTCATAATACCATAATACCATAATCAAAATCCATAATCACTAATCATTACCCTAAACTTCCGTGTTCCAAGTAGTATATAGGCATGTGTCAAATGAAGAATAAATCAGTTATCAACGCCACTCGTAACTCCGCAATTCTACTTTCCACCTGCGGGAATAGGGCTCGTACTATACTATCTCAACAAGCAGTTAACCTACGCTAGCTCAGCCTCAGCGCATTTCCCGCATCGCCTGTGGACCGGCATCGTTACCATTGCCGCGACGCGATCGTCTTGCGAGTGTCTACTTCGGTTAGGCACAAACCCCGACGTAATCCTTTACCAACAAAGGATCACACTCCAGCAACCCCCTTCCCACCAAAAGCTCAACCTCCGACCGGAGAGAAGGCCCGTTAAGTTCACTACATCCACCCGCCCTGGAAACCATAGCTCATCCAGCTTCACAGGATACTCAGCTGAATCCAGATTCACAGGATACTCAGCTTCATCCAGCTTCACAGGATCGTCAGCTTCATCCAGCTTCACAGGATACTCAGCTTCACAGGATCGTCAGCTTCATCTAGCTTCAGAGGATAATCAGCTTCAACCAGCTTCACGGGATACTCAGCTTCATACAGCTTCACAGGATACTTAGCTTCATCCAGCTTCAGAGGACACACAGCTTCACAGGATACGCTTCTTGATCCAGCGTCACAGGGTCGTCAACTTAATCCAGCTTCACAGGATTCACAGGTTCATCCTGCGTCACAGGACACACAGCTTTATCAGGCTTCACAGGATTCTTCGTTTCCAAGACATACGATATGTCTACATCTTTCATGAGGAAACAAGTCACACAAGAATCGATTTACACAATCGATTACTAGACAACCAAAATGAGCTACAAGTACAAATCCAACAGCTCATAAAGAATTATGGCAAAGTTTCGGTCGAACGACGCCAACGAGACGGCTATTATTCCGGTAAGCTAAGTCAGTTAAAACTTAATAGCCGTCTCTGGCAGCAGTTTTGCGACCTAGATGAAGAAGTCCAATAAGCGGCATTATCCACTGGAAGTGAATACGCTTCACGACTTGTAGCACTTAAGGAGCTGGTCGAAAAATATAAAAGAGTATTTCTGGACAACATTCCGACTAGAAGCGGGCTTCCGAAGGCCCCAGGCGAACTTCGGCCAACATCAAGACTACAACAGGAGAGCAAATCAAGAGAGACTTCGCGATTGCCTATAAGTCCATAAGCCTATAGACGGCTCCTCGCGCCAACTAAGGGCCGTACATGACACTATCAAAAACTCAATGAGTAATCTTAAACACCTCGATATCAGCACAAAGTCCTGGGATCCAATCCTGTGTTTTATTATCAGAAGAAAGCAGTCTCTAGCTACACTGGAAATTCAGCGGATGCACCAACAGAAATTCCAACGTTAAGGAGTGTACTGACGTTTATTCAGGGACGAGCTTGCATGCTGGAGACGATAAGCGCTCAACCTACAGCAACACTCCGCCATCAGTCAGTTCACAACGAAGAGAGCTGTAAGATTTGTCAACTAGGACCACATCATCTTAGAGCATGTAGCCGTTTCCAGGAAATGGACGCCAAGATACGGCGCCAAGCCATTATTGAAGTAGGAACATGCACAAATTGTTTGTCTACAGCTCATAAGGTTGAAAGCAGCAACGGCATCATTCACTGTTACACTAAGGACCGAATAGCAATCCAGTGGCCGGCGCAGCAACCATTGCAGGCTACGACAACCCTAGAGGATATACTCTGCTCTCGACCGCCAAGGTATCATTACAAGGGCCAACCGGTCAACTACAAACATGTCGCGCTGTAATAGATGCTGGATGACAGGTGAATCTTATCTCAAGGAGGATGGCATATTTGTTATCTCTTAATGAAATTTCTGGCATGGGAGGAAAATTAGATCAATGCTAAAGCTTTTAATAAATACCTAGATCCTATTTTGGTAGAAGACGCAGATGATCTTGCTGGACCGAACGCTGCCTTTAAAGATAAAAAGCCGGTGAATGATAATCAATTTGATATAGAAGATAGCAAACGGCAGAATGGGACTTCTCCCGATGAAGAAGGGATTCATTTAACGAACTTAGCATTGATGGATCATACATTAAAAGAGCCGGAAAATAGATATAGCCAATCAAGAACTAGCGACACTGACTCGTCCGATCGAGAATCAACCGCTACATATAATGGTTCATTGCAGCTGACTAAACTTTATACTACAAGATTTCTCTTCTTCTCCAATTAATATAGAGCCGACTTCTCATTAACCTAAAACCTACAAGAAGTCTGACCTTTGTTCAACATTTCTTAATTTAACACAAAAATTTTAGCTGAAATATATTATTCTCATCAGTACATATCGATTCACCCAAAAAGGTTGGTAAGTCCCTTTAACGCCCACAAACTTAAAAAAATCTTAAATATGAACGTGGATATCTCGGAAACTATCAAATTTAGAAATTTGTGATTTCAGCTTTAGATTCCGTAGCCTTGTTTGGTTCGCGAATAAGCCACGCTCCCTCTAACGCCCACAAACCGGCGAAACATGTGGCACCAACAATTTTCATGGTAAAAAAAAATTTGTTGCTGAATTTTATTAGTCTTGTCAATACCTATCGATTAACTCAAAAGAAAGTTTAGCACGCCCACTCTAACGCCCATAACGCTTAAATCTGTTTTGGCGCCCAAATAACCATATATTGAGATCGCGGGTAGGTGGCGCATTACTTTCTCGCTTTGCTGCTTGCACATCGGATAGTCGAGGTACTCGAGTACAGCGTTCTTCCTTGTTTGTCTTTGTTATTTCTGTTGCTATCGTTTGTGCGTTGCCCGTCGAAGCTACAGTGCTGTTGTTGTCTCTGCATGCGTATTAACTGCATTACGCTGGCGCACACTCGCATTCTCCCTCTTAATTTTTTTTTCCATGACCGAATGCTTAAGCGTACAAAGTTTGCTTTTCCCGCATTTTTTGCAATTTTCGATGTTTACATCGGAAGAGTGTTCTAAATAAAAAAAAATGTTGGATACCTTTGACTGCTGCAGTAAAAAATGCCATCAATTAATTAGATCTGACCAGTTAAAACTGATGTGTTTGCTTTGTGAAAACATGTTTGAGTGATGATCTTGCTAAGGGTCATAACTTACTATATTGTTGTGACCATTGTCTTAAAGTTGTGCACGAGATGAAATCGTTAATGAGCCAAACTAAAGGTGGTTTCAAAGGTGTAGAGAGAGTTTCCGCCGAGCGGATAAGTTACTTTCAGAGCTGGACTCCCAATTTAATAGTCCCCAAAGCGTAAAAGAGCCACTGGAGGTAGGCAGCCTATGAAGAACACCCCGCAAGCCCCAGAAGAATACCAGAGGCTTGCGTAGTAAGCTAACTAAATTGTATTCGGATAGTCTCTCTTTTGCATCTCATATTACTGTATTTACTGAGACCTGGTTACAACCCGAGATCCTAGACTTCGAGATTTTTCCTGGTAGGTGCGCCATTTATAGGCAGTGCCAATTTCTTACTTTCAGTAGCTCATCATGATTTCACTGAAGGTGTGCTTGACATGTCTTTGTCTCGTGTTAACTTTATTAGAAATTCACTAGGCGGTTGACTGAGCCTGTTCTTTGTATTTAATCTGGACTGTGCGTTTCTGTCCAAAGTAGCACCTCTTACTCAAGCCAAGATCCATATCATCCTGTGTTAGTAGAAATATCAGAGCAGTCAACTTCGCAAGGCTGACTTTCGGATGCAAAATTTATGTATATTAGGCTTTGTAGAGCCGTAAATTCGTTTTTCAAATCTTGTGTTCTGTTATACTATCCGTCAGTATCCAACAAGCCACCTTGGTTCAGTAAAGAACTGACACACAAGAAAAAAGAAGTCCAGACTTTATAGGGAATTCAAAGGAACCGGTTCCCAAACTATTCTTTATAGATACTTATGTGCTCGGACCAGTTTTACCGTGCTAAACTCTCTGTGTTACAAAAACTATATAAATCGTTGTAAAGGTCAATTCTCTCAGAATCCGGATAATTTGTATAATACTGTAACATATAACACGCATATTTACGCTTAAATCCACCAATTATCCTTTCTCGCTATCTTTTGAAAATATTAACGCAAAACTGATCAAACAATTGCCGATCTATTTGCCACGTTTTTCCAAACGACATATTCTACTTTACCTTCTAATTCACAGCCTGGTTCTTACATTGTATCCAAGTCGAATTTAATATTCTGACCCACCTTATGGGTGGAAGTCCTGGGTGCGTGCTTAGATATTGCGCGGAGGCCTTATGCAAACGCCTTCCCAAATTGTTAGCCTCATCTTCAAAGTCTTCACAATTTCCCCGTATGTGGATGGAATCGTTTGTAATTATTCTCCACAAGAAGGGTAGCAGAATGGAAGCAAACAATTATAGAGTTATCTCTAAATTGTCAACGATCTCAAAGCTCTTTGAAAATAGTATTACACCCCATTTGCAGCACTTTTGTAGGTCATTTATAATTCCGTGTCAATACGGGTTTATGAAACGAAGATCAACAACCACTAGCCTTTTGGAACTTACATCATTTTTGATAAAGGGATTAAATAATCTTCCTCAAACAGAGGTCATTTACACTGACTTTAATAATGCATGTGACTCTGTAAATCTGTTGATCCTTTAAGATGAATT